ACAAACAAACAAACCAAAAACCTAATATAGATAAGAATGACTTATTGATTTGAAATCCATGTATAAGCAAATAGTCCAGTGAAACTTAAGTTCAAAAGTTTTTTTTGTCTTGTGGGTGTAGCTGTGTCAATGTGCCTAATTTATAATAACATTGAGTCTAGTAGGTTAGATATTAGATATAAATTTAGATGTAAGCAGTAGTGAACAGTAATGCCTAAACTGAAGTGTATAATCTGAATCTTTATGAGGACCAATTTATATTATTGTGAAAAACTTAGAAACTGATTTGAAACATGAGTATGATTCATATGTGTTGTACATAGTTTTCAATAATTACCAGCAGGAAATTTTAGTGGATGGTATAAGTGGAATAACTGCAGGTGAAACTTTACTGGATAACATAAATGTAGTGACTTTGCTGGAGAATATAAGTATAGTGACATCTGTGCACCAAAGGCACCTGGGAGATTTTTTTCAAAACACAGGCCAGACATGCCCTGCTGGCTATAAATCTCACTGTCAATGAGTGTGGGGATGGGACTTGAAAAGCCATATTCCTAAACATTTCATTTCATACATAAAGCAATGATTTTAGTTATCCCTGCATTTTTGGTAGCACCTGGTGCACACGTGATAGATTCCCAAATGTTAGTTGAATGAATTGTGTCATAGAAATCAATTTTGCTAAGTGTATATTTAGAACTAGACATTATGTGGATAGTCTGTGCTCATATCTTTGGATTCTCACCACCTCACAAGGGGCACCAACACCTACAGCTATCCTATGAACTCATTTTTCTGATTTTTCTGAATCTCCCTCACTTCAGATCCAATTCTTATTTCCTGTTTATTCTTTTGCAATGGCATTCTGGATTTGCCTTGAGCAGCCAAATGGGCATATGTTACCAGCTCTTCTTTGTGAGAAAAATTCGTAATTAGAATTTAATTAATTGTATCTTTCCTGTTCAAATTGATGATGCCCTATATTATCTAAAAAGAAAAGATTTGTGTTTATTTTGCTTTTTGGAACCAAGGATGATTTGGTTCAGTGGCCTGGAAAGGAGAAAACAGTGAATACAAGACTAGGGAATTTTTTCTTGGCCAACCACTAGGAGAGACTCCTTAGTTTCAATCTGGATTGCAAGGACTGAATGTTAAGCCCTTTCTCATCTATTTTCCATGTCTTACAAACAAAATGATATACTAGAGATAGGATTTAACTCTAGCTCCCTAAGTCCCCAATAATAATACCAGGGTTGAGGGAGAAAACCTGAGTACCTCCAGGCAGGTGCTCAGTTCTAATCAGCTACTTTCTGTGTATCTAGAGCATAGTCCAGATACCATGGTTTGGATTTACTGCCATGACTATACAGTCAAGCTTTGCTCCTTCAGACATATTGCTTCTGGGACACATACGCATCCAGAGTAAAAATCAAACAGAATGGGTTTTGAGATTTCTGATCTTGCCATACTATGCTGTAAATAAGAAAGTCAAGAGAGATTCAGAGAAGCTGTTTGGTTAGGCAGGTCAATTGGACTGATAATGACAGAGCTAGGACTTAAATTGGCCATCTAATTCTTTCACCCTTTAATCCAATATTTGGAGTGATTTCATGCCCATGTAGATGACTCGTCTTGCATCTGAGCCCCTGATTCCTTAAATCCTTCACTTGCTGTGACTTTTGCATTGATCTCACTCCTTCCCATGGAGCAGCTCATCATCTAGAACTGTCCACATATGAAAAACTGACCACATACTTGGTCCTTAAGTACAGACTTTGTTTTCTTTTATTCATTTAGTTCCTCTTTCTCTGGTCCTTAATGGTATAGGGGCTTTTCCCCTTTGTTCCTTTATTTTCTCATTTTTAACCACACCTGCCCCCCACAGTGTTCCCTTCCTTCCCTGTTGGTTAGATTCCATGACCCATCTAGTCAGCCATTCTTTGTTACTAATAGCCTCAACTCCTTTTATTTATTGGTTTTCATTTTTGCACTTATCTGACAAAAATGCAACTCTGAACAAATCGCTTTCTTCATGCTTCCATCAGCGTTGATAAAAGCCAATGGAGAAAAGGCAGATTGATAACTTCATCACAGTCGTTCTCAAAGTGTGATCCCCAGACCAGCAGCATCAGTATAATTTAGGAACATGTTAGAAATACAAATTCCTAGAGCCCTCATCAGCATACTGAATCAGAATCTCTCAGAATGGGACACAAGAATCTGTGTTTTTACAAAGTTCTCTAAGTAGTTCTGATACACATTGAAGTTTGCAAATTACTACTCTATTAATTCTTGATCTTTAACCTTAACTGGCTGCTAACACTGCCAATCTTTTTGTTTTCTAAATTAGTAATCCTTAGTGTTTTCCATAGACGCCTTTTCAAATCTTGTTCATTCTCTTCAAATCTGTGATGGTGCCTGTGTCTCCTCATTCCCCAGAGGTTATCACTCTCTGACTTATATTAGTTTGTGCTTGAACTCCCTCAAACTCCTGCCACAACATTCTCAGACTAACCACAGTCACCTGCAGTGGAGGAGTCTTCATGTCTATATGCTTCTGTTCTACATTTCTTTTCTTTCAGCTTTTAGGACCTTCTCCCTTTCTCTTCACAAAGTTCCCTCTCTCTATTGACATCCTTCACCTAATCTCATCACAGCTTATATTCACACTCTTTGGTGTTTTGATTCTACATGTGATGAAAACATTGTAGGGATTTAAGCAGGGAAATGGCATTATCTGACATATAGTTTATAAAGATTTTTACCCTTCTGTGGAGAATGGGTTGCGTGAGGCAAGAGTTGAAGCAAGAAAAGCATTTTGGATATTACAGAAAATCTGAAGACAGCGGGTGGTGGCTTGAGTCATGGTACTTGTCATGGAGTCATAACTAACTTTGGGCTGTGAGTTGGAAGTAGAATTAACAGGGATAAAGGTGGGGGTCAAAGATGATCTCAGTCTTTTGGTTTTAATAATTATGTGAATGATCATGCTGTTTACCAGAATGAGGAAGCCTGGGAAAGAATAAGATGACTGGAAAAAAATCAAGTCTGTTTCTGGCCATGTTAAATTTCAATTGTTTATTGGAGATGTATGTGGTGATAGGCAGCTCAACATTTGACTCTGGGGTCACAAGAAGAGATTAGGGTAGAAATGGATTTAGGAATCTTTGGCCTATCGGTAGTATTTAATGCTCTAGTATTTGGTGAAGACACCTTGGGAAAGGGTGTGGAAAGGGAAGATGGCATAAGACAAAGCCCTGAGCTAACCCAATATTTAAAGTGGGAGTATGGAGGGAAAATTTCTAGTACAGGAAAGTGAGCATGAGCAACTGATAAATTAGGAGAATTTCTCAGAAGAAGGAAGTGGTCAGGTATGCAAAATTCTGCTGAGAAATAAATTAAAATAAGAACAGAGAAGTAATCATTGTAAATGGCAACTTGGAGGACCCCACAGAGCTTGAGGAATGTAATCACAATGAAATGCTGACAGCAGAGGTCTGATTAGAATGAGCTGAGGAAATCATGTTGAATTAGTCCTGCCAAATCATGTGCTCCTGTCTAAGGAGAAGCTGGGACATTTGTTTGTTCTTCACTCTAATCCTTAGTCAATAGATTCCTGAAATCAATATATGTCTAAGAACAGGTGCTTAAGTTCTGCAAACTGATGCAGACTTCAGTAGAAATGGGTGGATGTTAAAAGCTCATATTTGGAAAGTTTGAATGAAGGTGTTGACTGGCACAGTGGCTCACACATGTAATGCCAGCACTTCGGGAGGCCAAGGTGAGATCACTTGAGGTCAGAAATTAAAGAGCAGCCTGGCCAACATGACAAAACCCTGTCTCTATTAAAAATACAAAAATTAGTCAGATGTGGTGTTTGGTGCCTATAATCCCAGCTACTTGGGAAGCTGAGGCAGGAGAATCACTTGAATCTGGGAGGTGGAGATTGCAGTGAGCTGAGATCACGCTACTGCACTCCAGCCTGGGTGACAGAGCAAGACTCTGTCTCAAAAATAAATAAACAAAAAGTAATGAAGGTGCCATGAGTTCTAACAGATCTGGCATGTTAAGTCAATACAGAATCTATAAAATTCAGCTGTCTTTGAAACTATTGATAAAAGAACCACTATGACAAAATGAGTTAAGTAACAATAGGCACAGTATTAAAACAAACTGGAATCTGATTTTACCTGGGATAAGCCAAGTTTAATATGATCAGTCCATAGATATTTGAAGTTGGCAACATATACACACACACTTGCCCACATGTCATTTTTTATTAGTTATGTCCTTTGAGATAGTATATTTAATTTCATGGTTGATAAAATATGAGAAATATCCTCATCAGCATACATTTACCAAGTAAGTCCATGATGTGGTTATGTACGAAAGGATGTCTGGAAATGAGCAATATAATGATTACAGTATTAGGAAAATAAAACATATAAAGAAGCAGTTTTTAGCCAAATTCTCAAATCATAAGAATTGATTATCAGGCAGCACAGGCGTTGAAAACAGTGAACTGGCCATCTACTAAAGTGCCATCTTAGGGAGCACACTGTAGAAAGGATTGCTGGCTGTACAAATAGTATAAATAATTATCAGTTAATAAAACAAGTAAGAAGGGGACCCAGTATCTTCCAGTATACTGTAGTTTGTTACCAGGATATTGTATCTGTGTACAGTTCACTTGCAATGGCCTAAATGCAAGATCCCTTTTGCAGTGGAGCATTTTGGAGGGAATGTTTCATTAGGGACTTTAAATATACCTAATCTTTTATATAGTCTTTATTTTACTTCTTCATTTATATCTTCCTAAGTTAGCAATAAAGTATTGAGCACTTATTATGTGCAAAGCACTATACTCGTGTTTTCTTAAATATATGTATATGAGAAATAAGCCCCAAATGATTTAATTCTTATTTTAGAATGAATGAGTTGCTACCATGCTGGTGTTGCTACCCAAAGGGTGTGGATACCAAATGTTTAGTTCCTACCAGCTCATGACCCCCATCTTCATCGAAGTCCTCCTCTATCCCATCTGTCATCTCTTCTCCATCGGCATCTGGCCCTCCTTCAGCAGGCTCCTCTGTAGAGTGATCTGCATTCTCTGACACACATTCCTCTTGGATCAGCACTAGACTCTCTTCCAATTGCTTCTTCTGAGCTTCTGAGGGGGGAAAAAGCAAATGACTACTACCTTGGGTTGCTCATGAGCCATTTGGATAAACCATGAAAAAACAGTCCTTGAAAGGGCAAACTCTTTGTTCTATTAAAGGTGTACAAAAGGTAAGGTAATACTATGCTTTAAGTTGAATTTTCTCAGTCATGTAAATCATGTACATATGTCTATGTGTACTTAAATGTAAGCATATTTATTTTAATGGAATTAGCAAAAATTAGGGAATCCAGATGGTAGTAGTACATAAACTAGTAAGATTTAATTTTATATATAGTGCTTTCTAATAAGGATAGTCTCTCTGAGAGGAAAATAGAACAAAAACAAAGGGCAAAAAGCAACATAGAAATTGTTCACTCAAGGGAGGAGGAAGAAGAAAGCTCATTGACAAGTTCAAACCTAAGTGAAAAAGACAAATAAAAACTTACTGAGGAAAAAAGTAGAAAAGAAAATATATAGTTTCTCAGCAACATGTCTATGTGAACAGTTCCCTGAAATTTTAAAGTCTAAATTCTGTTGACAGGTGTGGGTAACTTCAGTGGTTAAGGACATAAATTCTGGGGTCAGACAATCTGAGTTCAAAGTCGAGCTTCATTAACTAATAGTGTTGCGATGCTGTGCAAAGTCAAAATGATTAACCCTCCATGTGTCTCAATTTTCTCATCCATTCAATAAGGATAACTATTTCCTAAACTTTCAGCATTTGGTGTAGTGAATTGGAGTGTTAGTATAGTGACTAGCAAATAATAAGTGCTCAACAAACAAAGCTACACTCTATATTAGTAGAACTTCTTCTAGTTGTCAGGATCTGTGCGTTCCACTTACAGAAAGCTGCTCAAATAGGAGTTGTGCCAGCAGCATCATAATTGTTTCCTCTACTGGGTGGTATTCATCTCCTATGATGATATAAAGAAGTGTTGGGCTTCCAATAAATTAGATCATCATATGTTTCTCCTTCTCTGATTTATTTTCATGTGTTCATGACTATTCAAAATTGGTTGTTTTCACTAATTCTGCTTACTTTTTTAATCTGATGATTCTTTTATCTGAGTTTTAAATAGTCTACAGTTTGATCTTATTTGTTGATAAATTATTATAATACAGGTAATTTATAGAGCAAAATAACTGTAGGTTATTAATTTCTGGCCTTTTTCATAATGTGATATAAAAGGAAAATGAGCATTGATATAAACATTTTATCTCAGCACAAAGCTTTTTTTTTTTAACTTCAAATCTCATGTTGAGAAAACTTTTCAAACACAACTAATATGTAAATCAACAAACTGATAAAATTTACAAATAAGCAAATAAGCAGCTATTCTTTCCAAGAAATTGTTTATAATTAAAATGATACTTTTAGAAATAAATGTGTATCTATACCTTCTTGCATTTTAATTCTCCAAATGATAAAGTTTATTGAAAATAAGACAAGAGTAGAGGGTTGTTGTGCCTTGGCTGTGCTGTCAGAGTTTAGTTACTCTGAGCTCTAGTTGACAGGATTCTAGCTCTAGCTTTGTTACTTACCCACGGAATTATAGGCACCGAGTTTGAATCTAAGTTTTGGCCATTTGGTCAGGTCACGTCATTGAAACACAGTAAGTTTACTGTGAACACAGGGGTTTACTGTGACTTTTATCAGAGCTTATATTTGGGAAATGTTTTACAAATTATAAAGGACTACATAAATGTGTTCTATTATATACAAAAGGGAGATGGTGTGCTCTTCACTGTGAATATGTTGAAGGAATAACAACAGTAAGCGTGGATCAAGAGTCCTGGTCAGATCAGGGAATAACACTCATGGGGCTGAGGCTCTGTTTCTGAGGAGGAAAAGAGCTGGTAGAGCAAACCAAGGTTGGAAATAATTACTATGGGTATCTTACATGGCTAAAACATAGGCTCTTTTTCATTAAGAGAAAGACATTTACTACATATAAATAGACACAAGCTATATACAGCTTGATGTTTTAAAAATCAACTTATTAGGTTCAAATTTCTCCATTTAACATAATTAGTACAGTGAGGATGTGAATTCTGCTTTTAAAAGTATACTTTTAATCTTGATATGCACATACGAATGTACTGATGAGAGGACGTATAGTACATAAATTCTTTCCATTTTTCCTAATGTCTATATAACATTTAGCACAGAAAGTTCTATGAAGACTATAAAGTGGTTATTGTAAAATATAACCAAGATTTTTTTCTAAATATAGAAAATTATCCAATTTAAGAAGGTAAAAGTGAATTAAAGAAAAAAATATCTGTTTAATCTAGAGAAGACCCCATTGTCTGAATTAAAAGGAAGGTGAATAAGGCAAGAAAGACCAACGACACTCTTAATTTTACGTTTACTGAAGATTTCTAGGTTTTATTCTCACTTTCCTTCTACATACCATTCATGTGCTCTAAAATTCTAGATCTGTTACCTGGGTTAACCCACATACACATCTGTGAGTAGGCTTCACTGAGAAAATGATGTGATAGGTTGACTAATCTGAGCATTGGACAGTTTTGAATCCTCTAACATTAATCACATCTCTAATTTTATTTTGTTGCCTCTCCTATCACTGATCCTTTGTACTGCACAATGGAGGTGGTTACTCTGGTTTTGGCCCCCCACTCTTCTTCATAAAAGAGGTTTTTATACTTATCTAAGCTCCTCACTTCTTATGTCACCGTGCCATTTGTTTGAAATGCCCTAGCTTTCAAGACCTGGTGTTGGTACTTCAAGAAAGAGAGAGAAATAGAAATTTGGGATTCTTATAATTATATACAGTGAAAAATGCCTTGAATCTTATAAATTTTTTAAAACCAACATTTTTCATTTTTATGTCATTGTATTTCTCTTTTTGTTATAACACACAAATGGATTTTTGCTTAAGATTGGCATATATTAGGAATTCAACTTGCCTAGCATATCTATTTCTTCTCTAAATGATTCCAGAAATATTTGTTATTTGAGAACTCTTTTTGATGTTGAAGTAACATATATATGTGTGTGTGTGTGTGTGTGTGTGTGTATATATATATATATATATATATTTTTTTTTTTCCTCTCTATAAGCTATCTGGCCAAGGAAGCATAGCAGATATTCAAAGGATCCCTGTAGGACCAGACTTTAAAAAATGCATAGTCCTCATCTGGCTTCATGTATCAGTTTGTTTCAGCTTATATAAGGACAGCCAACTTTCTTGATCTTCCCAGCTGAATGTAATCTTTCCCACTTCGATCAACCAAAGCCCTGTCTTATAGTTAGTTCTACTGTTTTCTTATCTCTTTTGCATTAGTGTTTAAGCTTCTTGGAAAATTGAGCTATTGCCTCAGAAGATCATTGTCACACTCAAAGGGGATGATATAGAAGTCAATCTTTTGTAAATTGAAAAGCACAATACAAGTCAATTATCAAGAAACGTTTTGATGCGCTCTGTACCGTTCACTGAATGCCTTGCACATGAAGACATATCAGGAAAGATATAGGGTTTGAGATTCATACTTCTGCTAATGACTAGTCCTATTAATTGTAGTTTTCTTCTCTAAAAGGTAAGCATTAAAATAACATCTGTTTCAGGAAGTTGCTGCGTGCTCTAATGAGAAAAAAGATGTGAACGTGTTTTTTAAACTGCAAAGACGACACAAACATGTTATGATAACAAGCTCAAAATGGTTCTTGAATCTATATTTGTTTCTTGATTGCTATAGACAAATTTCCTATGTCAAAATTATTCACTCCTACTGATCATTAAGAATCAATTTTGCAAAGATTATTTTGGATTTTGGTTTTGACATGGACATTTTAGTTCTATTTTTAGACAGACATAGTCTAGTACTGATATGGTTTGGCTGTGTCCCCACCCAAATCTCATCTTGAATTGTAGCCCCCATAATACTTGCGTGTTGTGGATGGGACCTAGTAGGAGATAACTGAATCATGGGGGTGGTTTTCTCCATGACATTAAATAAGTCTCACAAGATCTGATGGTTTTATAAGGGGTTTCCTGTTTTGCTTGGTTCCCATTCTCTCTTGCTTGATGCAATGTAAGGTGTGCCTTTTGTTTTCTGCTATGATTTGTGAGGCCTCCCCAGCCACATGGAACTGTGAGTTCATTAAATTTCTTTTTCTTTATAAGTTACCCAGCCTTGAGTATGCCTTTATTAACAGCTTGAGTACAAACGAATACAGTACATAGTACAAAACATAGTTACTCTGGTTTTTCTGTATTAACATACAACATACATGTAATTCTGATCATGTATTTCAAAGGCAGTGGTATAGTAATACAATTCATTGCAAAAAAAATCCTATATATTCTCATCAATCATTAACTTGAAAGCTAAATGCTTGTAAGTCATTATCTGAGTTAAGAAAAGCTTTAATTATAATGATAATTGATTCATAGGAGTTTAATATCAAACAGTGCGTTAGTAATATATAGTCAACATAGACTTTTGTCATCTCAATGGGAAATATTATAATCACTAAACAATGATAAGTTTCATGAATAAACTCACACATGAAAGCACATCTTCTTTATTAAACTATTGGTTCACAGTTTAATAGGCAGTTTTGATTCAGTAACTATGTTGCTGAAATAGAAACAAATTAACTTGTCCTATTTTTTATGAATAATTATCTAATTTTATGTCTCTAGAGATGAGTGATGTTGTTTAGTTTATTCTTTTTTTTGAGACGGAGTCTTGCTCTGTTGCCCAGGCTGGAGTGCGGTGGTAAAGTCTCGGCTCACTGCAACCTCTGCCTCCTGGGTTCAAGCAATTCTCCTGCCTCAGCCTCCTGAGTAGCTGGGATTATGGGCACACACTGCCACATCAGACTAATTTTTGTATTTTTAATAGAGATGGGGTTTTGCCATGTTGGCCAGGCTGGTCTTGAACTCCCGATCCACCTCAGGTGATCCATCTACCTTGGCCTCCCAAAGTGCTGGGATTATAGGCACGAGCCACTGCACCTGGCCAGTTTATTCTTAACTTT